TTCTGAGACAGAGAGAGACAGAGCATGAGTGGGGGAGGGGCCGAAAGAGAGATGGAGACAGAATCCGAAGCAGGCTCCAGGCTCCAAGCTGTCAGCGCGGACCCCGACACAGGGCTCGAACTCACAAACCGTGAGATCATGACCTAAGCCGAAGTTGGTTGCTCAACCGACTGAGCCACCCAGGCGCCCCACAACAAAAGCTTTTAAAAAAAAAAAGATTCAGTTCATCATTCCAGCTAGTAGAGATATTTTATCTCTGATATCCATTTATGTGCTATCTCTATTCCCAGTTTCATGCCATGCAATATCTGATGAGTAGATCTTTTCTGTTCTCATCTACATCACGACTAAATGTCAATTAGAACAAAGTCCACTGGCAGTCCTTCTTCTACCTTAATAATGATCAGCAACCTTTGGGATCACTTTTACTTACATAAGATCTACCCAAATTCTACTCTTACCTAATTTACTATTCTTCATCATTTCCATAAGATGAGAGGTATTTTCGTGCTCTGCTGATATCTAAATATACCACGTCATCCACATTTTCCTGGTCTGTTACTTTGAAGTGACCCTGAACCACTCCTCTGGTACTCAATAAAGGATATTAAACTATATGACCTTTTCTTCCCAATTACATAGTCAAGTCTCTTCTGGGAATAACCTATGCCTTGTAATTCCTCACAAACTCCATAGCAAGTCATTCAATTCCATTAATTCAAGAAATACTTACTGATATTCCACTATGTGCCAGGTACTTCTCTGGACTATCCTTCCTTAGTGTAAAGTGGTAATTAAGTATTCATGGCAGTATTGCCTCAACATCCAACCCTGCACAAACAGCTACCTGCCATGTCTAGTTCTGCCATGTCTGCCACACTGTCCTTCCTGATCCCACCCGAAGCTTGAAAGACTTTCTCACTTACCTCTACCCAAATTACTAGATAGACTTTTACAAAATTTTGAGAATGATTAAACTACCATACCATCATTGCCTTTTCTAGAAATAGTCTCTCCTTCTACTGGGTTCTCACAGTATCTTATATATAACATTCTTATAGTACTTAGGGTATTCTACTTTTTATCATACTTATCTGTCTGCAGATCTTATCTTGTCCCCTAGATCATAAGCTCCCTGAGGGCAGGAACCATGGCTTACTCAGCTCTGTACACCCAGAAAAGTTTTACCATGCTTGGCATCTGGTGATGTTGAATGATCAATAAAGAGAAGAGCAGCCCCTTAAAGCAGCAGTTGTCAGGCTTACCTGCACCTCTACCAACCAGTCCACAAGAATGGCCCTCATGCAACTGCTGATGTCAGTCTGCCTGTGCATGTATTTTGTAAGTATGAACTTTTCCTGGCAGCAATAAAAAAGAAATATTAACAAATAAGCACTTCTTTTGGTTCAAAAATGGTAACTTAGAAAAAAATACTGCAACTCATTTCTCAGAAAAATAAATTATAATAACATAATTAATTTCTTCACAGTTCTACCTCATTATTTTCAGCTGGTATCAGATAGGGGCAGATCAAAGTATCTTTTTCCAGATGAGTTCTAGTTATCCTTGGGAAATGGATGCACATCATATTCAAGTGTCAGGGTGGATAATGAGGAGTCCAGGATGTATATGGAATATGGGCAGGAATAGGCCTATGACTACAGAAAAATACCAAAGAGGTTTTGCCCCTTCTTTGCAATTCAATCCAATGCACAATCCCACACTATGTAGAGCAGTGCTTCTCAAACTTTAACATGTGTACCATTTGGGATCTTTAAAATTCCCATGCCAATTTAGAAGGTCTGGGGTAGGGCTAGGTTTCTGCATTTCTAACAAGATCCCAAGTGAAACTGACAGTGCTGAGCTAAGGCCCACACTTGTAGTATAACAAAGTTATCTCTTACTTCCTCCAAGATATACTAGAAAAAGTGAAGGATCTGGAGTCAGTTAATCAAACATTGCATCTCTAGAGAAAAGACAAGATATTCATCCTCCCTTTTATGTATGGCCTGCTAAAATTGTCAGCTGGTTGGTAGATAATCTTGGCCCCATATGTTCCATTGAGAGAGAGAGAGGAGAAAATTGGGAAATCAATGAATTTTAGTGGTCAAGCAGACTGGCAGATTTCAAAGGAGGAAGAAAACTTCGCCAGGCTGGAGAATGATTTTACATATGATGCCAGAAACTTGGATAGAGAAGGGAAAAGATTGCTAAGAGCAGCCGCCCAGAAAGAGACTACTATTTCTGTGTCTGAGACTGTCTCCTTAACAATTATAGGTGCAGGCTTATGGTCTTCAAAGTAATCAGACTTTAGCCCATATCCTAGCTCTACCATATACTAGTTATGTGATTCTGAGCAGTTTCTCCAATCTACAAAAAGGGGGTAATAATACCTACTATCATGGAGTTATTGGGACAATTAAACAAGATAATGTGTATAAATCCCTTAGCATAATGTCTAACTTATAATAAGTTACTAGTAAATGTCAGTTGTCGCTGTTGTTATTTTAATCATCATTACCTCCCCTTCAACTTACATTTGAAGGATGGAGTGATGAGAAAATGAGACCTAGAAATCCTTCTTCTCCAACAGCCACCTACATACCTCTCTCTCCTTCATGTAACTGAAGATATCCTTGGCATATATTGAGTTGAAAAATGGATCATTATGGTTCTTGTCAATATCCTCCAATGGGGTCATCTGCTTGGAAATCACCAAAAAGACATTAGGAGAAGAAAGATTCCAAGGAAGGCTTAGCACATACACATAAATGATATACTCCTTTATTCCCACTGTCATCTTCTGCTAAGTTTCCTAAAGCCTTATATATCCTGGGCCATAACAGAGCACTGCTTGGTCCTTCAATACTCATACTGCTAACTGACCAAGAAATGTTTAGTCCTCCTTGTACATGTCTACTCTGCCCTAGCAACTAGACACCATTTTTATAAAATGGTAAGTCCAAGACTCTCCAATAAAAACACTTTTATTTTACTATTTCAACTTATGTTGCCTGTCTTCTTAGGTCACTTGTTTTGCCCCAGTGCTTTGATCTAACCCAATTCATTTTCTTGGTAGCCTTTTCCTCCCATCTACACATTTACCCAGGTTGTTTTGCCTACAAGAAAGGTATTTCTCCTCCTGCTTGCCAAATCTCATCCCTTCATCCTTCCAATTTACAACTTAAATACCATTTTCCTTGGGAAATACCTCTGTGGACTTTACCCATCTTTGACTGGAGTCCACTGTAAATGCAGATTGCAATTACTAAGAAAGGCAATTTCCTGAAGGAAATTGGCTAACCACTACTGTAAAGACCAGTTTTATACACACACACATACACATTCCAGATCCTTGTGGGTATTCTTGGAATAAATACTTTCTAATTGTTTGGGTGTATTTCTATGTCAATTGGAAAGTCAAGAGATCCCACAAGGCTAACTTTATTTACTATAGCTTACTATATACAGATCAATCGCTTAGGAAGGCAAAAAAATCTCTTTACTGACAGCCACCTACAGGATAACAAAGAACACATTATCTAATTTAAGAAGGAAGAGAACACAATACCTCCTTCTGTGAACTCTTGCTCCAAGGTGAGAAAGGTCTATTAGAACTGGATTCACAAGCACTGGACTTGTTTGTAGTACTGAACTTGCCCACACTGGACATGGTAGCATTGCTGGACATGCCTATTCTGGATTCGGGGGCAGTGCTGGACACATGTGAGCTGGTTTCAACTTGGAGGATCAAAAAATCTTCGAGAAAGGTGTCTTCCTTGTGGATGGGATTCTCTTGCAAGGCCAGTGGCTCCTTCAGGGACAACTCCTTATCAGTGGTGGATTTCTCATTCAAGGCACATATCTCCTTGAAATGGAATGTTTCATTGAGAGTAGGCTTCTCTTGTATGGCCAAGGACTCCCTTAGGATGGTCTTCTCAATGCTGGGCTTCTCCTGCAAGGCCGAGGGCTCCCTCAGGGTAGCTTCTTCCTCAATTGTGGGATTATCCTGCAAGGCGAAGGACTCCCTTAGGATGGTCTCCTCAATTCTGGGCTCCTGAAAATCCAGTGGATGCTTAATAAGGGATTCTTCATTGGTGATATTCTCTTGCAAGGCCAACTGCTTCTTCAAGAGGAACACCTCCCCCTGAGCAGTGAGTTTCTTCTTTAAAGATAATTGCTTCTCAATGCTTATTGTTGCCACCTCAGTAGAGAGCTCCTTCTTCAGAACCAATGTTTTATTTAAAAGGGATTCCTCTTCAGTAGTGCTTTTCTCCTGCAAAGCAAACAGCTTCTTCAAAGAGTAATCTTTGGTATCAGTCTTCTTCTGCAAGCCCAAAGCCTTCCAGAAGAGGGACTCATCTTTGTTGGTAGGTTTAACATGCAGTGAAAATGGATCCTGAGAGAGGAATTCCCCCTCAGTTGTAGGCTTCTCCTCTAAGGCCAATGGTTCATTAATATAGGATTCTTCTTCAGTGGTGGTCTTTTCTGCCAAGGCCAATGGCTTAGTTGAGAGCGACACCTCCTGCAGAGTGGTGTGCTTCTCTTTCAGTGTAGATGGATCCTGGAAGAGGAACTCCTCTTCAGTTATAGACTTTCTATGAAAGGTCAATAGATTCTTCAAGGATGACTCTTCTTCAGAGGTGGTATTCTCTGAGACCAGTGGCTTCTTTAAGAGGAACACCTTCCCCTGAGTGATTTGCTTTTTCTTTAAAGATAAAGGTGTCTTGGTAAGGACTGCCTCCTCAGTTGAAGACTTCTTCCTAAATGACACTGGCTCCATACAGAAGGAATCTTTATCTTTGCCAATCATATTCGGCAAGTCCAACAGTTCTTTGCACATGGACATCGTTATTTGAGTGGCACACTTTTTCTTCTTTAAAGATAAAGGCTCCTTGGTGGAGACTGCCTCATTTATGCTATGTTTCTTCCTAAAGGAAACTGGTTGCATAAGAAATTCATCTTCACCATCGATATTCTCCTGCAATGACCATGGCTTCTTCAAGAGAGCCACCTCCCCCTGAGTGGTGTGCTTCTCTTGCAAGACAGAGGATTCCTTGAAGGGAGACTCCTCCTCAGTGTTAGGCTTCTTTTTAAATGTCAATGGCTCCTTAATCAGTGACTTCTCTCCAGAGGTGGTCTGCAATACTAGTGGCTTCTTCAAGCAGGACATCTTAACCTGAGTAGTACACTTTTTCTTCTTTAAAGAAAATAGCTTCTTGGTGGGGGTTGCCTCCTTGATGGTACATTTCTTCTTAAAAGCCAAAGTCTCCTTTAAAAGTGACTCCTCCTCAGTTGGAGTCTTTTGCAAGGTCAATGGCTTCTTCAAGATGGACATCTCCTCCTGAGAGGTGTGCTTCTCTTGCAACATGGACGGGTCTTGGAAAAGGGACTTATCAGTGGTAGGCTTCTTCTTGAAAGACAGTGGCTCTTTAATAAATGACTTTTCTCCAGAGGTGGTCTTTTGCGATTTTAGTGGCTTCCTCAAGTGGTACATCTTCCTCTGAATGGTACACTTCTTTACAGGTAATGGCTTCTTAGTGGAGTTTGCCTCCTCAGTAGTATGTTTCTTCCTAAGAGACATTGGCTCCATAAGAAGTGTATCCTTACTGTCTTTTTTCTCCTGCAATGCTTGTGGCTTCTTCAAGAGGACCTCCTTCTCATCAGTGGTGTGCTTCTCTTGCAATACAGAGGGTTCCTGGAAGAGAGACTCCTCCCTAGTGGTAGGTTTCTCTTTAAAATACAATGGCTCCTTAATGAGTGCCTTCTCTCTAGAGGTGGCCTTCTGCAATTCTAGTGGCTTTTTCGAGTGAGTCATCTTCCCCAAAGTAGTACACTTCTTCTTTAAAGATAATGGCCTCAAGGTGAGGATTGCCTCCTTGACAGTAGGTTTCTTCTTGAAAGCCAGTGTCTCCTTAATGAGTGACTCCTCTTCAGAGTTGGTCTCCTGCAATACTAGTGGTTTCTTCATATGGGACATCTTCCCCTGAGTGGTATACTTCTTCTTCCTTGAAGATATCACCTTCTTGGTGGGGGTTGCCTCCTCTGTTCTAGGCTTCTTTCTAAAGTTCATTGGCTCCATAAAGAAGGAATCCTCTTCAACACTGATATCCTGCAAAGCCAAGTCCCCCTGATATGTGCACATCTTCTTTAAGGATAATGTTCCTTTGGTGATGGCTTCCTCCTTAGTTTTATTCTTCTTCCCAAAATTCATTAGCTCTACAGCAAATTCATCACTACTATCAGCCTCCTCCTGTAAAGATGGTGGCTTCTTCATGAGGGATACCTCCCCCTGATTTGTGGACTTCTTTAAAGATAATGACCTCTTGATGAGGGTTGTGTCCTCAGTACTGGGTTCCTCTTCTAAAATTATTTGCTTTTTGAAAAACAAAGCCTCTTCAGTAGTGGTTGTTTTGGAGATGGTCGGTATCTCCACGTTTGGTACCAAGGTAATAGAGACCACTACTGGCAAAGGTTCCAGCTTATAACTGTAAAAGACACAATGCCTGGGTAAGAAGAATGTAGTTCCTAGAATCTTCACCTACCATCTCATTTTGTTGCTGCAGTTACAAAAGGTATAGAAGGGGAAAGGGCTTCAACATCAAGAGACAGATTAAAAGGTAAAAATCAATGGGTACCATACTGAACCAACTAGGTAGCATATTGTATAGTTCTATGGTCTAGGTTCTCACACTTTTCTGAAAAATTTCTCCGAAAATCCATGTTATGTTTTCCTATATATGACTTATTTACTTTATTTACATACAAAGTCTTTATTATAATACTTACCACACTGTACGAGTTATATGCTATATAGTATCAGTCTCCCTCACTAGCTGCATTTATTTTTGTCTATCAGCATCAGGCATCTGGCAAAATGCAGGCTGAAATTAATATTGTTTGAAGGCTTATGAGAGAATTATAAGAGAGAAGCTTATGAGAGGTTTATGAAGGCTTATAAGAGAAAGGTGGGCTGGCACTTAATATTGGTGGTGTCTTTTTTTTTTTAAGTTTGAACTACAGAATATTTTATTTTACATTATGTTTTTATTAATTTTTTTCAAGTTAGTTAACATACAGTGTTGTCTTCGCTTCAGGAGCAGAAGCCAGTGATTGCACTACTAGGAATTTATCCAAAGGATACAAAAATGCTGATTCACAGGGGCAAATGCACCCCAATTTTTACAGAAGCACTATCAACAATAGCCAAATTATGGAAAGAGCCCAAATGTCCATTAACTACCATTGGTGGTATTTAACCACATCCCCTTCAACCTAGGCTATTCATGAGATACTTTCCCAGTGGAGATAATAAAAAAACCAAAATAGACATTTGTTCACATGTGTCAGACTCAAAGCTTTGTTCTAAACAGGATTTCATGACCAAATCACTGGAAGACTCAAAATCAGAATAAAAGAGAATTGCAGAATGCAATAATCAATCTGAACAAAAATAAGTCTCTCCAAAAGACTAGATACCATATGATTCCACTTATATGAAATATCCAGAATAGACATACCCATAGAGGTATATCCATAAAGGAAAGCATATTTGTGGTTGACTATGGCTGGAAAGGGGTAGAGAGGAGACTAGAAAGGGGGACTGGCAAAGGAAAGGGACTGCTAATGGGTTCAAGTTTCTTTGGGGTGGGGGTGTTGAAAAGTTCTAAAATTAGATAGTGGTGATGGCTGTACAACTCTATGACTATAATTTAAAAACCACTATATTGTTTTAAAAAAGAAAGTGTTTTGAGAGGTTCCACATGGCCAGATAGATTCCAGGTCCCTCCTGATGAGAATTTTTAAATGTAGTCTTCGGATAATCTAGTTATGATTAAAAGTATGCATTCTGGCTAGACTGCCTGAATTCAAATCCTGGCTCCTCCACTTACTAGCTGGGTGACCTTGGGGAAGTTGATTGTCTGTGCTTCACTTTTTTAACCCATACCATGAGAATCATATTACCTCCTTTGTAGGGTTGCTGTGAAGATCTACTTAATATGCAATAAAAACATGTAAAACAAAAAACTGTTTGAAACAACTGTATGCCAACAAATCAGGTAGTTTAGATGAAATGGACAAATTCCTAAGAAGACACAAACCAGCAAAACTGACTTAAAAAGAAAACAGGAAGTATGAATAGACCTATAACAAGTAAAAACACTGAATTAATAGGGGTGCCTGGGTGGCTCAGTCAGTTAAGTGTCCAACTTTGTCTCAGGTCATGATCTCACGGTTTGTGATTTTGAGCCCCGCATGGGGCTCTGTGCTGACAGCTCAGAGCCTGGAGTCTGCTTCAGATTCTGTGTCCCTCTCTCACTCTCTCACTTCCCTGGCTCATGCTCACTCGCTCACTCTCTCTCTCTCTCTATTTCTCTCAAGAATAAAACATTAAAAAAATTTTTTTAAAAAACACTGAATTAATAATTGAAAACTACCCACAAAGAAAAGTCCAGACCCAGATGGTTTCAGTGGTGAATTCTACCAAACATCTAAAGAATACCAGTTCTTCATGAACAACCCCAAGAAATAGAAGATATGAGAACAGGTCCCAACTCATTCTAGGAAGCTAATATTACTCTTATACCAAAACAAAGACATCTCAAGAAAAGTATAGTCTGATATCTCTTATAAATATAGGTGCAAAAACATCCACAAAATACTAGCAAACTAAATCCAGCAACACGTAAAAGGATTATACACCAAATGGGATTTGTCCCAGGAGTGCAATATTAGTTTAACATCCAGAATCAATTCATGGATTAAGCCATATTAACGGAATAAAAAACAAAAGCCACATGATAATCTCAATAGATCCAGAAAAATCATTTGACAAAATACAACACCCTTTCATGATAAAAGTACTCAACAGACTAGGAATATAAAGGAGATTCCTCAACTTGATAAAGGGCATCTACGAAAAACCCAAAGCTAACATCAGACTTAACGGTGAGAGACTGATGCTTTCCCCTTAAGATCAAGCAAAAGACAAGGATATCCAACTCTTCTTTAGGGGATGGGGGATTGGTCAGGTAGCAGTAGATAACTCATATAGCACTGCTGACACTTTAGGACTAAACCCCTCTATTCTCTGAATAAATTCCAAACTCTTTGCCATGATCTGAAAGGTCCTGGTGACCTGGCTCTTATTTGCCTCTCCAAGTCCATTTCTTAAGAAACATTGGCATGGGAAATAAATATTGAGTATCTATGATACCATAAGTCTGGGGTGATCAGAGTAGGCTTTCTTGATAGAGTGAACAATGGTCTTTGTCTGTGACTGAGAGGGTTCCTGGGATGCAAGACTTTCAGTATTAAAATTGGGCAAATCCTATGAAAACCAGAATAAATTGGTCACCCAATTATTAGAAGACAAGGATGTCCACTATTGACATTTCTATTCAACAAAGTACTAGAGGTCCTAGCCAGGGCAAGAAAATAAAAGGCAACCAGATTGGAAAGGAAGAAGTAAAACTATATGTATTAGCAGATGACATGATTTATACAGAGAAAATCCTAGGAATCCACATAAAAACTATTAGAACTAATATATAAGTTCAGCAAGGTTCCATGATACAAGATCAATATACCAAAATCATACATATATCTATATCTTTGCAATGAACAATATGAAAATGAAATTATGAAAATAATTCTATTTGCAATAATGTCAAGAAGAATAAAATGCTTACAAATAAATTTAACAAAAGAAGTACAAAACTTATACTCTGAAAACTACAAAAATGTTGAAAGAAATTAAAGATCTAAATAAGTGAAAACACATCCCATGTTTGTGGGTTGGAGGACTTAGTATTATTAAGATGGTAATACTCCCCAAATTGATTTACAAGTTCAAGGCAACTTCTGTTAGAATCCCAGCTGGTTTATTAGTGGAAATGGACAAGCTGATTCTAAAATTTATAAGTAATTGCAAGGAACCCAGAAAAACAAAACAATCTTGAAAAAGAAGAACAAAGTTGGAGGAATCACACTTCCCAATTTCAAAACATACTACAGAACAACAAGAATCAAGACAGTGTGATACCGGCATAATGATAGACATGTAGATCGATGGAATAAAACAGAGTTCAGAAATAAACACTAATATTGGTAGGGAAGATGGCGGCGTAGGAGGACGCTGGGCTCACCGCGCGTCCTGCTGATCACTTAGATTCCACCTACACCTGCCTAAATAACCCAGAAAACCGCCAGAGGATTAGCAGAACGGAGTCGCCGGAGCCAAGCGCAGACGAGAGGCCCACGGAAGAGGGTAGGAAGGGAGGCGA